AGTTTAAATTTTCATAATACATACCAAAACAGATATAAATAAATATTTAAGGGAGCATACAAAAAACGTGATTTTTGCCGTTATTTGCTCTATATTAATAACGGCAACAGGTAGAAGCTTGAATATTCAGATAATATAAAGTTATTAAAATAAAATATTTTTTAAGCGGAGATTAGGAGCTCGCACACAGACGTAATAAATAAAGGCTTACTTTGCATAAACACCTTTACCAGTTAGTGCCAATTGACGACAGTTCATAATACTACAATTTACAAGCTACCTACGATGAATGTGTGTGTGTGTGTATTGATTACAGGAACAATGGATGAATGGAACATATGTGCGGGGTACCTAGCGGGGCCACTCGAACCAGACTCATAAAAGTAGTATTACCAGTACTTTGATTGTTCAATGTTTTGATAGAAATTACTATAAATCGCCTCAGCCATCCAGTGGAGCTAGTATTTAAAATTAATACAGATTTGGCCGGTTTCTTTATTTATTTACTGTAAGGCTGATTGCTGAATTTAATTATTTGGATAAAGCGTTTCAAATCAAACAGACGCAAAAGTATATGGTCCAGAACCTTTTCTGCCCATACCTCAGGCCCAAATTAAAATGTGGCTGCGTGATAGAACTCAGAAATTACACTTGACAGAGTGGAAAACAGGTGAAGGATGCTGTAATGTTTGTTTTTGAGCAGGGCGTGACACTGACACTCATATTACTGACACACGTGGGACAGCTGTTTTGTCTGTGATGGCGTACCACTTTATTTTTTCATTCGACTTAAAAATCGTCTTCATCTTATAAAAAAAAGGAAAAAAAGACACGATTAGTCTTGCTTTGGGTTGTTGTGATGGATGGCCCTGTGGAATTTGCCAAGTGTTAAATTTTGAATTAATATTTCCATATCGATTTGAGTCCTCAATCGGGCACTTTTCCGGAGTGATATAAAGAACTGCATTTTGTTTGAATTTGAATTCCCTCGTTGATTTAGGTAGGTATTTTATTTTCCTCCGCTTAGGGAGAGCATGGGGAGTGACAGATTTGTTTTATTGATGCATCTTGTCTCCCAGGCAGCGGCTGTTTGACCGTTGCCTTGGCCTTCGCTTGGAGAGAGGGAATCATAGACACGGATTTGGCATGTTTATCTTTCTCTATGCTCAGTTTTCAAAACAAGATTTGAAAATCTATTTTTTTTCGCTATTTTGTTTTCTGCTCAAAGTATATTGAAAAAAGGGACGATTTAGCAACGATTATACTGGGTAATTAGATACGAAACAGTTTATATCCTAGTGGATATTGGCAGGCAAAGAGCGAGAACGCCAACCGAACTGTTGATTAATGTGAAAACATACCGAAAGGTTGTAACATTCTCCTGAAGAACTACAAGAGAAAGAACAAGCATATAACAAGGAGATTCTCTCTCTATACACGGATCAGGAAGGACGCGTGAGATTATTACAAAAAAGGTTGCAAGCTACACTCCAGTCGATGTAACCCGGCCGTAACTAAGGACAGATATATTCCTTAACCTATAGTAATCAAGGTATTTCCCTAACTAACCATGGGTGAACATTGCAGAGGCACCGCGAGGTTGGAATCCGGATTACCCATTTCCACATATAACTGGTTGTCTCATTGAGAACAAAAATTAACATAATATTCAGCATCACTAATATCGATCAAACGAGCCGTAGAACTCTTATATTCACCTGATAAATCCTTGTGAAGGTTTAGTATTTGGAAAAGTCTAGTTTTGTGTCTCTCTATTGACAGTCCACTGCAGAGTAGGTAAAATATATTAGATATAGTTTAAGAACTCATGTAAGTACATTATAATTTGTTATGAATGTCTAGTATTTATACAACTCCATTTTTATGATTTATTAATGATTTGTTTAGTGAGAAGGAAGTGATTTATATTAGCTATAACTTTAAAAACTACTGTATTTACCTGATAAGCCTTTGGAATGCTTAAAATTTAGATCAAGCCTTTTTTTTATAATATCAGTTAGTACAGTATAATTTTAACATTAACTTTTTTTTTTTGTTTTCTTTCTTTGCTTCCTCTGTGCTCTGAGGTAAACTAGTGGGTGAAGTGGAAGGAGACAAATACCATTACAATGCCGGCAAACGAAAAACTCAGTTCCAGAGGCAAATATGAGACTTGCCCGCACCATTTCCAGACTTAATAGGGACAAACTCTGCATAATTATAGATTATTAATGACCTTAACTGGTCATTGTCCCCTAAACAAATACCTATATACAATATAAGTAACAGACAACCCCGTATGCAGAGGATGTATGGCGGCAGAAGAAACGCCACAGCATGTCATCATGGAATGCAGGAGTGTGGCCGACCAACGGGCACGACTTCTCCAGTCATCAGCATCGCTTCCGGAAGCTTGCAGCAGTCTGCCAAGGCTGCTTTCCTTCTGGACTAACTTAGGCTGGCTGGAGTAAACGGGAATGTTTCGAGACACGCACAATGGTCCAATGATTAGGACTAAGTGCGGAAACTGCCCTGAAAAACTAAAACTTAACTAAAGCGTTTCAAAGTTTAATAATGCATGCAGTAAGCAATGGATATTAAGGTCCTTTATTTATAGAAACGTACCGCCTTACTACAAAACTTAGAATAAGGTTACATTTGGTTTAAGCCTTATGTTGTCTCAGTTTTCTTTTAGCAAACACATTTGACCGCATCTGGAGCTCTACTCTCTTTCTCCGAAACAAAATTTCGGTAACGAACGAATTTTAAACGAAATTTCGTCAGTGACGTTACTCTTTTTCATTTTCGAACACGCATGAATTCCTTAACATACCAAAACTTAAACTTTATGTTAATCAAGCAGCCTTAATTAAAAAAATTGTAACTGTCAAATTCAACGTTTTATTGACTTATATAAAAAATATATCAATCCCGAAAATCCCGGGATTCATTTTATTTAATCTCGAAATTAAACATATAATCCTCAAAATAGTAAATATCGGATCATAAATCACTATTGCAACACATTTGCTCAAAAACCGCATTTACGGAGGTTGTATACATTATTCGAAAGTTCAAAATTACGGGCCACACAACGGAGCTGTTTTACCCCACGCTCCCATAAATGACGCCGTGCGTATTCTTTACGGTTTTTTTTTATTTTCAGGCGAACCTCCTTAGAAGCGTTCTTTAATTTTTTAATTAATCTTTGTCTCACTTTAATACTAAATATACTACTATACTAAATACTACTATACTAAGCACGTGGCGCCATTTGGAAATGCGAGCTATTTTTTTTCTAAGAAACCACTTTTCTTTTAAGAAATGGTTTGCTTCATTACTTAAATTAGGTATAGGTACTGTTTTTTTACAAATGTGTTGAAAATGTTGTATAACATTCGTGCAGAATTGGTATTTACTTACAAACTCGTGACTATGGTACATTCGTCTACTCGTTTGTAATAATCAACTTAACGCACTAATACCATAAATGAAAAGAGTCACTTTCTGCATTATCCATCCGCGTGTTTACTTATAAAAGAACACGTTCCGAGCAAGCGCATTGGAAAGGAGATTTTCTCCACCTTCTCACAGTGAGTATAAAAATTAAAAAGTTAAGTTCACACCAGCTAATTATCATTTCTTCTCGTATTTCGTTGGCTCGCAGTTAATACGCACGCACGCTGTCCTTATTATTGAGACTTACAAAAGACTAAAAATCATGTTACATGTAGGCGACTGTCCAACTTCCTTTGCATGGTTTTAGTTTTTAATAAGTATGTTTTATTTTCAAATGTTTTTAAGATCATGGAACACTTCAACCCTATTATGATCACGGAACATTTAAAAAGTAGACAACGAATATAATTAGAATAATATTATACAAAAAAGGTGTCAAAATGGACATGGCTCGCTATGTAGAGTCTGTGCGGAAAGAGAATGGGATTTAGATTGGAGGGCGCTGTAGTGCTTTTCTACCGTATTTGTAAGGTTTTACCCCTTTTAAACATGATTAAATACAAAAAATCACAACAACAAACAAATCCGTATCTGTTTCTTAGGTTTTCACGCACATCACTCATTAAATAAAACTAGTTTTTACGGGTTAATGCACGAAACTTTATTTATTTATTGACGTTTCGTAGCCTTTACAGGCTTCGTCGTCAGAATAAAACTTTTATTTAATTTGTCGAGCTACCTTCGAAAGACTTTTATTGAGCGTTTGGTTATTTCATTGTTCGATTTTTAAGTTTTATTGTCTATGTATGAATTTATTATTTAATTTACTTAATAAAGTATTTTATTTAAAATTCTTTTTGTAATTTTGAGTTTATTTATTTGACCCTAACTACCGTAAACTACCACCGGTTCCAAAATTGGGAGACCTTTCTGAGAAGAACCGGCGAAACAACCTCAAGAGAGGCTTTCATCTCCTTCTTATGTTAAATTATGCAAACAAAAAGAACTAATAGTATCTGATGGTCTTGCAGTGTGTGCTCGGGGTTGGGATTTTATCTCCTGTATAATAGGTTCCCAGGCTGGTGGTATGTACCAACCATCTTCCCTATTGAAATTTGGATATTTTTTAATCTCAATAGCCTCGCGCATCATTCGAGGAACGAACCGCCGCTCAGCTGCAACGATCTGTGGTCTATCAAATCTAATGTAGTGGTTTGGTCCCTTGTTATATTGCTTGGGTACCAAGTTGCTCTACGGAAAGTTAAAATAGTTCCAATTTGATGAAAATGAACGATTCCTTCAACGGGCAATGGGAATGTATATACCGTTTTATAAGTACCTAGTAAATCATTAGTGTATACAAAAGTTTACATTTTATATGCATATACCAGTAAAATTATCAGAAACTGTATTACAGTATAGTTAGAGCATCTAAATTTAACTTCAAAAACAACTACTGACTGATGAATCAACTCTGATGTTTAAAACCTTCTTAAAATATAAGCATTACCGAGTCTTAATTTACATCTTTGATTATTCAGGAATCTCTTGCTACCCGATGGAGTGCCCATAGAACGTCAGCGAGCCAGATTCATAGTGAAAATCTACCGAGCTGATGGACTCCCCAAGATGAATTATTCCATTTTGGCCAACGTGAAGAGAGCTTTCACCGGAGAAACTCAAGATCTAGTAGACCCTTACGTACAAGTCTGCTTCGCTGGAATGACTGTAAGTATAAATGTTCCTAATCATTCATTTATCTATGAAGTATCAATAATAGTAGGGGAGTCCAAGCGGGGGTTTTGGGCGGGGCAAAATAACATAAGGATGGCAACCTTGAATCTTATGAAGTACTCCCACCATACCTGAGCCCTTTATGTAGGGTCGGATGTCTAGGGTCTGGGTAGAATAGGATATGCTGCTATTATGTAGGACTTTATAGAAGCCCTAACTACACAATTCTTAATATTACTCACTCAGGGATGCACATCAGTAAAAAAGAACAGTTACACTCCCGTATGGAACGAGCAGATCGTTTTCAACGAGATGTTCCCGCCTCTCTGCCAGCGTCTCAAAATACAACTGCGGGACAATGATCCTGTGCATCCAAATGTGATTGGGACACATTTTATAGATCTGAAGACAATTTCACACGATGGTGAAAGAGGTAAAACGCATAATACAGATCTATCAGGTAGTATTGGACATGTTTTTTTTCACATAGTCAAAACATTACATAAATATTATTGATATTGATTTAAGATGTCGCATGACGTCACGCCTTGATACAATTTTTTACTTAGAAGTGACGTCATGAGCTTGGTCGGATTTTTTTGGTTTTTTGACAAAAGAAAAATGAAGTGGTCATTATTTTTTGATAATTTAACTGACGAATTAATTAGAATTTCTTTACTTTACCCCGTGATCATCCCAATTCTAACAATGACTAATGAGTTACTCCAATGGATTTTATTATAATAAACAACTTCAAAAATATATTAACGAAAATTATGAACTTCAAAAGGGTTTCTCCCAACTTTCGGTCCGGCATTTGTTTATTTATATGGATCTACTCGAGACTACAGCTTGCTCGACCAACACGCCAGTTTGAATATGGGAATGGGAGAAGGAGTATCATACAGAGCCAGGTAAAATCATTATGATTTCTTATTTTTATTAATGAGATATGTCAGGTCAATAAAATATTTCTCTCTCTCTCGCTCTCTCTTTCTCTCTCTTTCTCAGATAATATTTCAAGAGATACTTTCAACAATGGTTTTAAACTTTTTCTGGATTGTAAAAAGTCTAGATGAATTGTTTCAATGTATCTTTGGGTAATGTATCCCCATATGCATATAAGTAGCTTGTTGTAAATAATGAAGTAATGCCAAACCAAAAAAAAAAACAAAAACTTAAACCAGTTTTCTTGAACCAGCAACCACCTCCCAGCAGCTCATCTGTAAGATTATGATTCAGGCATGTTTTTCAGAGTACTCATCTCTATCCGTACGGAAATCACTGACAATATAGAATGTCCGGCGTCCGAAGTCGAAGTAGAACCGGTCCCGCCTATAAGCGAGCCCAGTTTTGAGAAGAACGAGGAGTTCTTCCTGTTCGCAAGCGTTTTCGATGCCAACATGATAGACAAGCGGCTCGTCGATAGACCTATACAGTTCGAATTGAGTATTGGTAATGCTGGCAACTCTCTCGACGGCCACAACGAATCCGTGAAGCGTCCGCAGGACCTTGAAACTGATGAATTAGGTAAAGATGACAACATTTTTAAATTCACAAACATGGGGTTTTCAGTATATTGTGAACTGACTAGCTTACATTAAAATCTTAACTATAACCTGTTAAATAACTGTCTGTTTCAAAGAACTTTGAATTCTTATGTCTAATAACCACTACCTATAGATGAACTAGCTGCAGATACTGGTTATTGGCAAAGCACAACGACAGCAACCAAAGCCACTTCCAACGACAAGAACTATTACTACTTACCATATTGGGACCACAAACAGTGTATGCATGTGCGGAGCATCTGGCCGGACCATCGCCGGCGCATGTACAATTCAAACATGATAGAAAACATCATCGAAAAATTTGTAAGTACCTAGTAGACAGCACAGTACCTAGTAGTTTGTTTACTTTTATTGTTCGTTGCTAAATTACCCATGTTGTACAAATTTCGTACGAAATTATGTCAAAGAATTATGCGAATTGTAACGTTAGTATCATCCAACATCACCGACACTAAATTATTAATAATTGAAAAAATTAAATTTAAAAAGCGTTGTCTTCGAGCAGTTCCCATAATATTTGTGTTTCAGGAGGAAGGCTTAACTGACGCACAAGCCGCCATCGAAACAGACATGGGTCCGGAGAGTAACTGTGTGCTCGGTCTCAAGTCAGCTTTGGAAATGGCAAGTAACTCGTGCGCAGCGTACGTACGGCATATGACAAACGCACCACCAATTGGTAACACAAAACTGGATCGGGAACGACAGAAACTGTGTCTCTACGAAATTGTGAGATTAATTTCCAAATATATATTTCAAATATTGATTATAATGCTTTTATCTGGTTATATGGGTCTATTGGTAGGTGTGTTGTATATGTTTTATTTTTTCTTCAAGGAGCAAATTTCAACAATGGCAAAAAGTCTTAAAGCTTTGATTACGAAACACTCGATAAAAGATCGGCTGCGGACTGCTTACAGTTATTTGAACAGGTTGAAGCACCTTTGTGAAGATGTAAGTAAAACCACTTTATCGACATATAATTAAATATTAAAAAACAAATATACATTAATGAACATATTGAAGTAGGTACTATAAAAAAAATCTAATTATCAAAAATATAATTGTAAATATTCGCTTACAGTCTCAACATTCAATGCCAGATATATTCATTTGGATGATAAGCAATGGTAAGCGGTTGGCTTATCAAAGGATTCCAGCCAGAGACATAATTTATTCAGACTATGTTGATGAATGTGGAAAATATTGTGGTAAAATGCAAACACTTTTCTTGAAGGTACGTTTTATTTACGAGGTTGTTTATACAGTAAATTATGGGTTGCGCCTAGCACAGTTAAATTTACTTTAATTTTCCTCAAAATTCACAGTGGCCTGGTAAAAAAGCAGCATCACCTAACGGTTGGTCAATACCAGCGAAGATGAAAGTATACTTGTGGTTGGGTCTTTTACAAGATAAAAAACATTACATTGATGGATTACCGCAGGGTTACGAAGTCAGCTCCGAATTACGTAATGCGGACAAATTACGATCTAATGCACCATCTACCATATTCTATGCCGAAAAACACGTAAGAATGATATGAAAACTGTAACTTGATCCTACGTTGGTAACACGTTAACCTTATAAGGTTTTATAGCTTTAATTAATGTTTACATGTTATTTCTTTCAGAGTTTTCAAATGCGTGCATACATATATCAAGCCAGATCATTGATAGGTTCCGACTCCTCTGGATTATCAGACCCATTCGCTAGAGTAGTTATTGGAGATAGTACAGCTACGACACAAGTTATCGATGAAACTCTAAGCCCCACATGGGACGAATTACTGGTATTTGATGATGTTCTTTTATACAGCACAATAGAACAAATTAAAGCGGATCCCCCAACAATCGTTATAGAAATATTTGATCAAGATAAAGTGGGGAAATCAGAATTCATCGGCCGCACATTAGCAAAACCTCACGTCAAAGCCTTTGAAGACGCTTATGAAAGACCACAGTTCCCGCCCTCACTCGAATGGTATGACATCACTCGCGGCGATGATAGAGCAGGTGAACTTTTAGCTACATTTGAGATATTGGAAATTCCATATAAACAAGATGTATCAGTTCTACCAGAGTTACCGACGCCCAGAGAATCAAACGGCAAACCACCAGTCGACACGAATAAAGGTCCAATCCTGCCTGTTCCGAGAGGAATTCGTCCCACTCTTTCTAAATACCGCATAGAAGTATTATTTTGGGGCTTACGTGATCTCAAACGCATTCATCTCCTTACTGTCGACAAGCCAAGGGTGGACATAGAATGTGCGGGAAACATTTTATATTCGACAGTGATTCAAAGCGCAAAACGAAATCCAAACTTTACAAATCCTGTGAAATTTGTAGATGTAGAACTACCAGACCAAGATTTATATAGACCTCCGTTAACTATTCGTGTAGTAGATTGCAGAAGCTTTGGCAGAATAACACTTGTTGGAACACATACTATAAATTCTATCCATAAATACATTTATACACCCATGAGTAAGAGAGAGAAAGAAATGGAGGAAAGAAAAAAGTCATTGATTCAGCTACAAAATGTAGATTTACGTGCTAATTGTATCGTTCAGGATGACGTCTTCACTGTTGAAAATGAGAAAGAAAATTGTCCATTGCTGACTCGCGATGGACGATCGGCTGTTACATATGGTTCAAGTGTCAAACAACCAATGAGGAAGAAATTCAACAAACGTGAATCGACTAAAAAGAGAAAAGCCAGTACGGATTCAGTGTTTGATGATGATGAGGGTAGCAAAGATTGGTGGACGAAATACTTTGCTTCTGTTGAATTCATGATAGAAGAGGAAAAAGAAGCTAAACGGGAACGTCAAGGATTTTTACAACCATCGCAAATGACTTACATTGACGAGACACGGTCACCGCGAGAAGAAGTTCACTCTCCGAGACCAGATCGAGATCGTAACAAGCGACGACAGACACCCTCACCAAGGCCCAAAGTAAGCCCGACGATTCTGAAAAAGAACGAAATACCAAATTCAGCTTTGACTAAAGTAAGCAATACAAAGTTATTTAATAGCAATAAAAAGACGCATAAATTAATCACTATAAATAAAATATTTTATTATAGATTTACCCACACGAACTTGAAGCGGTCCCAGAGTACGATGAATTCAAAGAATGGCTTCATTCATTTGAATTATACAGAGGAAAAAAAACAGGTGATGACTCAGAAGACGAAAATCGCGTTGTAGGAGTTTTCAAGGTAACTATCACATGATGTGTTTGTTTGTACACTTCAAAGTTGTATCAAAAGAATTCGGGTAAGTCAGGAGACTTACCCGAATTCTTTATTTTGAATGAATTCTTTGTCTCTTCTCTTCTTATCGTCTATTCCTATTGGTAGTGTTTGCTTACACTTCTGCCTTTGTCATCGTTTGCACACGCTATAAACGTAATTTTGTTATTGGTTTTTCTTCTTTTGGTAAATTGTTGGCATAAAAGGTTCTGCTGTTATCTTCAGTGCTTTTAACCGGTAATTCTGCCTTTGAGAGAAGTTTACAGTTTTTTCATAACCAATTTAAATAAAAATATATCAAAGCTAATAATTCTCTCAAAGTGTTCATCACGATTAAGTACTTTTATTAATTTTAGGTATGAAACGTTTTGGACTTTAGTCAGATTTCGTGTGTTGGTCAAATTTATATATAATTGTATAAATGGGCATGGTGTTTTACGCGAAATTTCTTCCTTGGCATGATACAATACTACTAAAAAGCATCATATTTATTAAAATGGAACCTTGTACATAGTATAAACTCTCTTTTTAGGGTGCTATAAAAGTATATAAATGGCCTCTACCAAGAGGAATTGACGATCATACAGTGATGGGATTTGATCCAAATTACGGTTTCTTCCAAGGCGTCCCAAATAACGATCCGATACATGTTTTAGTGAGAGTATATATAGTAAAGGCAACAGATCTCCATCCGATGGATTTGAATGGAAAAGCCGATCCGTATATAGTGCTGCATTTAGGTTCGAAGAGAATAAGCGACAAGGAAAACTATGTTTCAAAACAACTGAACCCAGTTTTTGGCAAGTGCTTCGAAATTGAAGCGACATTTCCACAGGATTCTATGTTGACGATACAAGTACTCGATTGGGATTTGTTGGGCGCGGATGATTTGATTGGAGAAACAAAGATAGATTTGGAAAATAGATTCTACAGCCGCCATAGAGCAACTTGTGGATTACCTATGAAATATGAAGAGTACGTATTACAAATTATTTTAACTGTAATTACCACAATAATTTGAATTAGAGTCTCAGTTATTCGTTTGTATAAAACAGGCAAGGTTACAATCGCTGGCGCGATGCGATGAAGCCCACCCAAATTCTTGCTAAGCTGTGTAAGGATGGTAAACTAGATCCTCCCATATACGAATATGGGCGTGTAAAAGTCGGTCGTACAGTATTCAACATGCCCATGGAGGATACAGACTTATTTTCCAACCCAGACACTATGGAAGAGCAGATGGCGTTAGTTGTATTGCGACGTTGGCAAGAAGTACCCAGAGTCGGGACCAAGTTGGTTACTGAACATGTAGAAACAAGACCACTTTACAATCCTAACAAGCCGGGTATGTAAACGCGTAATGAGGTACATTTATTTAAAATTACACATCTAATAGTGAAGCATAATAAGACTAATCTACTATATAAAAATAAGTCGGGTTTTCCTTCCTGACGCTATAACTCCAGAACGCACGAACCGATTTCCACGGTTTTGCATTCGTTGGAAAGGTCTCGGGCTCCGTGAGGTTTATAGCAAAGAAAATTCAGGAAAAATTAAAAAAAAAAATCGTTTTCTTTTTATCACAAAACGAAATGTTACATAAAACGAAGCTATCTGGTGGCGAAACGGAGTTCGCTGGGTTTGCTAGTCTAATATAAATATTTCAGGTAATAAAAAAAATACGATTCTATGTTCTCATTAACTTAGGATTAATTAAATATTAAACGCTATATATTCAATTTGGATGATGCAAATGAGTTGTGTTAATGGTTAATGCTTCCAATTTGAATACAGAATTTTTGACTTTGATTTTATTAGGTATCGAACAAGGTCGCCTAGAAATGTGGGTCGACATGTTCCCAATGGACATGCCTTTACCAGGCCCGCCGATGGACATATCAGCACGCAAGCCCAAGTCATACGAGATGCGTGTAATAATATGGAATACTGATGACGTTGTTCTTGAGGATGACGCTTTCTTCACCGGGGAAAAAATGTCAGACATCTACGTCAAAGGGTAAATTAATCTAATCACACTGAAGAATTCACATTTTGCCAAATATCAACGTAATTTGACTGATTTATCATTTTTTTGTCACACAGGTGGGTAAAGGGCCCTGATGATTGCCAATGTACCGACATTCACTACCGTTCACTGACTGGGGAAGGCAATTTCAATTGGCGTTTCATATATCCCTTTGATTATTTAGAAGCTGAAGAACGTATAGTGATATCTAGGAAAGAATCTGTGTTTTCTTGGGATGAGACTGAATGCAAAATACCAGCACGTCTAGAATTACAAGTCTGGGATGCAGATCATTTTTCGGCTGACGACTTCTTAGGTGAGGAATCCTCATATTATTTAGGTTTGTATCTAAAGTGAGGCTGTATACATTGAGCAAGGTATAAAAGCATTGTGGTAAGCCCGATCGTAACTGCATACCATAGAGCATTAGGAGATGGAATGGTACTGAACAACACCATAGATGCTCGCTATACCAGAATATTCGCTTGGTATTCGCGTGATTTTAAACCTTTGGCACCTGTCTTTTGCAAGTTAAATTGTGAAAACCGTCCAGAAACGGTTTTCACAATTTAAATGGAAAATCCTCTATGGAATCTTTAGTAAAATGTATTTGAAAAAAAGGTTATTCATTGAAATAATTTCTATTAAATATAAATTAATTTACTTCATTATCGATCTATTCCATTAGATTGCTAGATTTGTAAATCTAAAGAAAATTTTATTAGTAATAATTCCACACAGTCCAGGCATCAGACAGGATTCGACCTGCTGCCAGCCTGAATAGCAGAATGTGTAGGTTGGAATATTGCTTGGCCTGCGTGGAATTATATCTAATAAAATTTTCTTTAGAAGTATTTTACTTTTCAAGTATTTACTAGTGCTAGGCAGGCTAACAGTGTTTTCAGTGACTACAAAGGACATTGTTCAGCGTCCATCCATAGTTAGCCTAAGAACCAACAGTCATGAAATATTATTTTCTAGGTTCAAAATCGTAAGTAAATGACTGTAAAAACAAAGATTATTGACGGACACTTCTGAGAACTTCAATTATTAGGAAAACTAAATTTTTTTTGAGGTTATGTTTAATATTCAATGAAACATAGGTCAACCTATGAATTTAGTATAAACTCAGTATGAAGTGAATTAATATTACACCTAGTTAATTCATTTTATTCGGTGCGATTTTAAAGAATAACTATTAGGAAAAACTTGCTTAGGTAGGAATCATGAATAAAATGAAAACTGTAGTTTTGCTTCTTATTTACTGACTATTTTTCACATAGTTGTATCATATTGTTTATTGTATTTATTTGTATATCACATATCACGTGTTCTTGAATAATTTGGCAGTATGATCCTCTCAGGATGTTGTGGCACAGGTTCACTAGCACTTGGTAATAAGGGCTCTGCCACGGTAATAATATCATACAGTATTCTATCTTCATACAAACGGTCAGAAAGCGAGTCATACCTACGCCACTCGAGTTCGATGTGCTCTCGGCGGGCACCCAGTCGCGAATGCGCCGCCGCGCCGCAACGACGACCGAACGGTTTGAATTGTTTTTTATGCAGTTAGCCGTGCTTAAACGTGCGTTTTGTATTGTAAATATTTGATTTAATTATGTAGATACCTACATAATTTAGTATGGAAAAGAACAAACGACGATCAATATCGTACAATAGCACAATTGCTGTTTTTGGTTGCTTGAACTCTTCAATAACACACCCAGAGATATCATTTTTTAAATTACCTGAAATATTGGAAAGGTGTCTTACCTATAAAGAATATTTTTTATATACCTATCTACTAGTACGTTATTTGTTTCTAATATTTAGGTATTTCGGTTTTTCCATCGGGCAAAATATCTGGAATAACATATAAATAAGTGGTTAGGATGAAAAAAGAGACAAACGAGTAATCTACCTACACTCGCGTTAAAAACAAAACTACATAAAATACTGTAGGCTGGCGGCCCTACCGCGTGCCAACGCAGCGCTCGGTGTAGGCATTTATTTTCAAGGACAGGACGGAGTCACAATACTGTATAGATAATATTACCGTGGCTCTGCTCTTTGGTAACATCGATGGCATATTAGATAGCCGAAATAGTTAAATTAAAGGAAAAACAATCGCAAATAAACACACACAACAGGTAATCCGAAACGAGAATGCACTTTTCGGTTTATTAAAAGAGTAGTTCTTTGGAATCACAGATCACTCTAAATGGTTTGGAATGCACGAATGCCACAGATTACTACGAATACAAAGTGCATGCACCAGAACCACAGAGTAACGAGTTTTATGCCGGCCCTTCACTTGACAACAGTTTGTCCTTGTCATGCTTAATAAGGAATGAAAAGGACAGACTGATGTCATGTTTTAAAATAGCAAATACGAATAGCCAAGTGAAGTGCCGGCATTAGGAAGAAAGAGTGTTTTATTTGCAGCGCTGCCATAGATTATACACATAAAATGGTATTTATTGTCTCAGATTATTTTTTAACTTTTTAATTTAGCTTACTTAACGGAAGTGTCCGTCACAATCTAAATACTGATAATTATCGCATAAAATATACTAAGAATTATCATAAATGCCAAATTAGTGTTGGTTCTTAGGCCAATTTTAACATTGTCCTTTATTTGAAATATTTCAGGTGCCATAACTCTTGATCTAAATCGATTCCCGCGTGGCGCAAAGTCGTCGAAACTATGCACTCTGGATATGTTACGTAATGACGGATCAGTACCTATGGTTAGCATCTTTAAGCAGAAGCGTGTCAAGGGTTGGTGGCCATTCTACATCAAGAGAGACACTGAAGAAATGGAATTGACTGGAAAAGTCGAAGCTGAAATACATCTATTAACACGAGAGGAAGCTGATAAAGTGCCGGCTGGTCTTGGACGCAACGAACCAGATCCTTTGGATAAGCCGAAGTAAGTAAAGTTATAGCGGTGCGTAAAGTTTTCGTATCATGAATACTTCTTTCGCTATCCCCTTGAAATCTAAAGAAAAGTGAAAGGAAATCAAAGTGATGATATCGCTTTCCCAACTTTATAGCCTGCGCAGTTCCCAAGCAGCACAAACAAGCAGCTGTTGATGAATAGTTCTCATCAATTCTTTTAGCTGTCTTGGGGGATTGTTTATTCTACGGACTATGCGCTTAAGCACCTGTTTTAAGTTCGGATTAGGACCAAATTCTCTTTTTTAGCTAGGAAGTTTAAAGTCAGTTTTCTGCTGTCAGAGCTGTATTGTAGCAGTCCTAAGACTGGTTTAAGGCTGATTAATAAGCTTTTACTCTAACATTTTCCCGTTTACCTTTAATTGATGATCACGATAGCGATAATAAAAAAAACCCATTATCAGAGGGGATATGTCGGTAGGGATATATGTTTTTTTTTTCATAATTTCGCTAAAACTGCGATTTCAGTTTCACACATCGTGTGCGTTGAGTCTGTGCCAAATCCTCGGCGGACTATTTTTTCATGATACGGGAACAAAAGCCCTCTGCGGTCAAAAGTCCGTCGTCTGCGCAGTCCATGAAAATGAAGAAGATCACGGATCTATTTCCTAATTTTATAGAGAATTACACAAATAGGTCGCTGTTTATTAAGATAGAATTCAAGTGTCACTAATGTCACTATAGTAAAGTAAGACATGTATATGTCGCAGGCAATTTGTATGATTCCGCATTTTACAAACGGTGTCGTTTGTTTAAAAACCCTCTCTGTTTTAAAATATGCCGTACATTCTTATAGTAAGGTGACCATTGTAAAACACAGGTTGGACAAATCAGACTTTAATTCAGTTGTTGTTGGGCCCTCCTAAAGTAAATAAACTAGTTAAGTAAAAAATCGATCTATTTTGCATTCAGTCCACAGTCCCTACGAATATCTAACAATATACCAAAATGTTCATAATAATCTTCTAATGGTATTACACGGGCCACTGGACTCTCAGAGTTGTCTTTTTTTCAGAATAAGATAGTCCACATCGCGAAGACTCAGCATATCATACTTTTTATACCAATAAATAGGATTCCGCAAGAGTCGTCCGAACACCAGATTCCATGAACACTTTGGCGTTGTTTACGTGCCGGATAACCTCAAAAACTTTGTCACTTGTACACGGCTATTTTACTGCTCCTATTTTTAAATTGTAATTTTTTTTTAATTCAATATAATAAATGTATTTTAAAACAATACTTATTTTTGTAAAAAGTCCTTTCAACACGTAGAATTTGCACTGTTTTCAATATTTTTCTGTATCATAACATAACTACTTACTACACGACGCTATTTTTCTTGTTTTAAAAAGAACAAAATTCTTCAATTTGCCGCGGCATTTTCTAAACGCCGATAGGATTGTCTATCAAATGCTGCGGCATATTATAAAGTGACAAGACAATTTACATTTTGCCTTCGGCATATTTTAAAACAACGAGCGTTTTTAAACGGACCACTCCAATAATAATTGTAAAATGCGGAATCATACAAATTGCCTGCGACATATATATTGAATAAGCTCCATTACCATTCCAATGTTATTTTCAGCCGACCCGATGCTTCGTTCATGTGGTTCCTGAACCCGCTCAAATCGATTCGCTACATCGTGTGGCACAACTACAAGTGGACCATTCTGAAGGCGGCAATCATCATTTTGGTTGCCCTCATGTTCTTATTACTGATATACGCCGTGCCTGGGTACACTGTGAAGAAATTCCTTGGCGCATAAAATATCAATATTTATTGGGACGGATATTATGTCCCGTGTGGAAGCGAAACTTGTCTGTATTGGCAGCTATTACAGTAATATTTCAATTCATATCAGTAAATTAGAATACCTATAATAATATTTCTCTTCATGCAAACATTTCGGTAAATGGATCTTATTAACATACTTTTGTAACAAATGTAGTAATCTACCAATCGAACAGTACACAATCCCTTTTTAAATTTAAGTAAATAGAAGAGGACGAAAATATTTTTAATCTCTAGATCAGTGTTTACTAACCTTTCCAATACTGCTACCCCTGTAACCTACTAGGAAAACAGATTTTACCCCGATTTTAAAATGTTATCATCAGTCAAGAAATATCAATTTGGCCGCTACATCTTCATCTCTAATAATGTCATCATCAGGAGAAAATCTCGCTCCGCTTCCCACACTCAGCACCCCACGGGCTCACTAGCAAGAAGGAGCGCATGTTCTATTTAGTATTTTCTTATTATTTAGATTTGACCATATAATAAGGTTCTTATTACCCCCGAAGTATGGCTGATTTACCCCGGACGGGCAATTACCCCCAGGTTCAGAACCCAGGCTCTAGATGTTAAAATGCACTGTTATCGAATTTGGCGTTAGAAACGTATCGATACCTATTCAGATGTTTGTATTTTTGTGGTAAATTTCGCTTCTAAACGTCTTTGTTGTTTATTGTTAGTGTTAAGGGAACTATCATAATCTTTGTATTCGACTGGATCTATCTGTTTTGGAGTAGGTTTAAAGGTATTTATCTCAATGCGTATATTGTATCGACGGCACACAGTGCGTTTATTTAATCATCAAATTAAACACTTCTACTAGACGTCTATTGGTTTTTCATTACACACACCATATAATCAAGATATAATCAGATCAGAAACGTGATTTATCGGTTTATTTAATGGGAACGAGTGATTTAAACAAGTTCGAGTAAGTACTTATGGGAGCGTTCTTATCTGTAAGTTTTCCTACATCAGTAAAACATTTTTTATACCTAGATAGGCAAATAACTCTACCTCACACGATGTTAAGTGGTGATAAAGTCCAGAAGCGAAGATAGCTGGTACAGCAGTTATAAACTGCCACACCAACCATCCTCCGGCCTGCAGAAATGCTTCTTCACGCCTCTCTTAAAAGACCCCAGATTGGATTGGTAGGCCATTTATTGGCTGTAGTCCTACTGGTAGTACTACGGGCATTTTTTTTGTCCGTAGTTCTATCAGTAGGTCCATGCGCACCTAGCACTTATTTTGTATGGGCAATAATGGTTCTATCAATAAGACTACTGACAAATTATAGCAAATTGTAGCCTTGAAAAACAGTGGAAAATTAAATTTAACTGACTGTACCCTTGGCCACAAAACTAGAACAGTTTTAGATCTATTTTTATAAATATAAATTAATAGTTAAAAAAAGGAAAATTTAAAGGAAAAATAGAGACTGCTTAAATACTACTTCAAATAAAAATTAAAAAGAAAAAAAACAAGTCTTTAATTCTGTTAAAAAAGGAACAAAGCTACTTTAACAGACGGGACCAATTAGATATTCAAGAATGGATATTTTCTTTTCATTAATGGGTCCCAACTGGTAAAGTTGCTTTGTTCCTTACTTAACAGAATTATAGACTGCTGGGTTTGTTTTTTTCTTTTCAGTTTTTATTTGAAATAATATTTAAGCAGACGGGGTTTTTGATTTTTTAAACTTATCTTTTTTATTTCGTACTTTTTGGTTAAGATTATAAGACGGTATATACCGCAGTCTTGTCACTTCAGTAAGGGAATTATTAACTACCTTGCGGTAGTCTAAACGATTGATTAGATTGTTTTATTAAGACATAGAGACCTTACCAGCAGGGTCAAGGCTACAGATGGGCCTCAATTTTCGCAAAAATGTGTGAAGTTAAATCAATTCGTTACCTATATATCTAATGTATGTAAATTTTGTAGTTAACTAGTACTTATTCAAAAAGTCATCTTTTGTTTATGTTCTTTTTAGTAGTTTAGGAGTAAATATAAAATTCATTTACTTTTATTCGTCGACAATCTAAAATTGGCAGTGGTTGCATTGGCACGTCAACGTCCGGCTCTAAGATTGTGATATACACAAATGCAGCGTCATATCTTAGTCTCATTATTTGATATACCTACACAGAAACCAAATATGTAGATGCCAGATAATAACTTCAAAAGTTGTTAATCACCCTATATTCAATACCAATCAAATACGTTAATGTCATAAGTTGAAGAAAGCAATAATTCCCGTCTGTTGTTTTGGATACTGGTGGTAACTGCATTAGATCGCAAAATTAAATAATTATGCAATCACCAAAGCAAAGTTTATAATATTTGATTAAACTAAAAGCGCAGAATAAAATTTTCATAGCTTTAGATACAGCACCACAGAAATCTCATTTATTATCAATTTATTACCCAATATATAGATTTACATCTTTGTCGTTCTCTTTGAAAGCGTTCACCAGTTAGAAGTCGCAGACTTTCTGGTCTACCTTTTTGATTGGTAGTGTAAAGCTCGAAATCGGGCTGTTACCCATGCCTAGTAGGTTTTGCAAATGGTGCAATGATAGCAATTATTTGCCAATAATATTTTTTTACTTATAAACAAAATAAGATTAAGTATGTAAAAATTACCGAATAACGAATCACTGTTTACCAAAAATGCTAAGTAACTTTTTTTACAAATATAATCAAATAAATAAATTACTTATTTTATTTTGAATATTTTTCATCAATTAAATATTATTATCCTAACTATCTATACTAATATTATAAAGAGGCAAGAGTTGTATGTGTATAACAAATAATCTCAAGTCAAACTACTAGCACGAACCAATATCGAATTCGAATAGTTTGCAAATCCGTAATGTTATTGATTTTTAGTTCTCGTTACGTCCGTTATAGCGCTGCTGTTCAAGTTTCAATACAAAATTTGAAAATGATATTTCGGACTCGCAAACTATTCGAATTCGATATTGATTCGTGCTAAGGGTTCTAGGGATTTCGAAAATTCATTGATCTTAAGGTAGCTACATTAGTTATTATTATATTTTCTCGCATTAATTTCAATATAGATGATTAATCTGCTCGATTTATAAATCTAAAGAAAACTTTTACTTGAAAAAATCCACTCTGCAACTTCTCAAGAGGAAATATTTCTAGTAAAATAAATATTTATAACTACATTTTATCCGAATGACATAGACTATATTTTATCCTGTTAATATATATTTCGCCCGTGCAATGCCAGGGTGGATCAGTAGTAAGTATAATATAATATGAAGAAAATCTCTTTGGTGCAATAGAACACCCTTGATCGTTTTCTATACTTATTTTACATGTCAATAAAAACATCTGTCACTCTATATCTAATAAATGTGTCTGTCTCTCCACTGTACTTTTTCTGCTTAAAATAATTTATTTTAGGAGGTTATTTATGGCCTATTAAACGCAGTTTTCTTTAATTCAGAGTTTTTTCCTCGTTAAATATCTATTAAAAAATGGCTGAATGCGGAGATTCGTCAACGCGGGCTCAAGGTCCAGCTCAGTCGTCGACGTCGACTACGGCGTTAATAGAGAAACTGGAGGGTGCTACAAATTACGGCACGTGGGCTTTCTCAATGGAAATGCTCCTAACAGAACTGGACCTCAGGGATTACGTAAATAACCCAGAAGTCATAAAGAAAATTCAAGAGGTAGCAATATTTAATCGCTTCGACAGTAAAGCTCGTGCTAAAATATACTTGGCGATGAAATCCCACATTTTCCCCATTAAAAGCTGCAGTACGGCCGAGGAAACTTGGAGAAAATTGAAAGACACATATGCAAGCAGTGGACTACTCCGGCGGTTTAATCTTTCGAAGAAGCTCTTCAATTCCAAGCTGGATTATCATAACTCCATGGAAGAGTATGCCAATTCCATTAGATCTACACAGCAACAACTTATCCAAATTAACTCACCCGTCGAAGGCGAATTCATAGGAATTGTGACTGGCAGGACTAACCGAAACCTACAATCCATTAGTTATTGCTTTTGAACATTCTGGCTCCAAGATCACCGTGGACACCGTTTCTTCACTTTTACTTAAAGAAGATTTAAGAGGAAAGTCTGTGAGCAGGAACCAAAACGCATTGCTAGCTTTTCAAGACCGGGAAACCCAACCAAGAAAAACCCTCGTTCTGTAAATACTGTAAGAAGAAGGGGCACCTTGTCTCACAATGCCGAAAACGCAAAAGTGTAAATACCATGATGAAGAAAAATGATGAGAATGTGAATAGTATAAAAAGTAATTTAGATAATAATATAACTGAATTCATTCTTTCATCCTCGTTTCGTTCTCCCACAGATCCAAAGGATATATGGTATTTAGACTCTGGTGCAACATCTCACATCAGCAACAGAAAGGATCACTTCTCATACCTTTCGCATCTCATAAAACCTGTGACCGTGGCTAACAATAGTCAAATATTGAGCGAAGGTAAAGGTACTGTTCATTTAAATATTTCTAGAAATATACAACAAATTTCAGAAGTTCTTTATGTACCTAAATTAAACACAAACTTAATGTCGGTTTATAGTTTAGTAAAAAAGGGTTATGTAGTCATATTTTCAGCCAAGGGAGTATTCATTCTTCCAAAAAATCACTATGGCATAGACGTCTCGGTCATCTTTGTGTCAATGCTCTAAATATTTTAAGTAAAAGAAATTTAGGCATAGACTACTATGATACAACCTCAAATAAAACATGTATACCATGTCTGCAAGGCAAACTATCGAAAAAACCATTTAAAAAGTCTAAAAGTAGGTCGCACAACTTACTAGAATTAATCCATTCGGATGTATGCGGTCCAATGAGTACCTATTCTTTTGGAGGTACCAGGTATTTACTTACTTTTACAGACGATTTTAGTCGCAACACTTATGGATATTTTTTAAGGAATAAGAGTGAAGTTTTTTCGAATTTTATTGAATTCAAACTCTTTGTAGAAAATCAAACCGGTAGAAAAATAAAATGTTTACGTACAGACAACGGTACCAAGTATGTAAACAAACCAATGTCAACTTTTTTGCGGGAAAATGGCATTGTACACCATACAATACATTGTCTGCCATACAATCCACAACAAAATGGTGTAGCCGAACGCATAAATCGGACAGTTATTGAAAAAGCCGTTATTGCTTCACGATGCAAAGCTTTCAGAAGGTTATTGGGCGGAAGCAGTAAATACTGCGATTTATTTAAAGAATCGATCTCCCACCCAATCTCTCAATAACCGGATTCCGGAAGAAATTTGGACAGGTACAAGAGTTAATCTTTCTCACCTTCGAATCTTTGGTTGTCAAGCTCATGCCCTTATACCAAAGGAAAAGCGTACAAAGCTCGAATCTAAAACGCGAACCTGCATTTTCGTAGGCTATTCAATTGAATCGAAAGCGTACCGACTCGTAGATCCCGAAAACCCACGAGAAATTTTTCTTTCTAGGGATGTAGCTTTCATTGAAGATGACTACAAAACAGAGGAAACAAAACAAAATTCTGTCCCACCCCAACCTAAAACCATTGAATTTCAAGTTCGAGAATTTCAGAATGCTCAGTCTCAGACTTCTAAACCGTGTTCAGACGAAAACATCATCTTAGAAGAAAATCTCCCAAGCGCTCAGTAGGAGCGCCAGAAATATCTAATTCACCACTAGAACCTTCAGATATTTTCTCGGATGCACAAGCAGAAACTTCAGGAGATACAGTCCAAAGTCAACCCCACATTGAAAACCTTCCCCCAGAACCACGTTACCCAACAAGAGAGAGAAAACCACC